CAATTTTTTTCATTAACCCGATGATCTTATACTTTTTCACTGTTTTTCACATTAGAAAAGAACTTGCCACCAAGGAGTTACAATAAAAAGCTATATTAGAAGTGTTATGTATAATGTCTTTGCTCACCTCAAAAAGTCTAAAGAAGCAGGTCCATAAGGTCCTTCGATTGCAACAGGTATTCCCTTCCTTTTATCCTCAGTTTTCTCTAGTTCAGCATGTATCAGGTCATAAAGAGACTCAGTCCACCACCCTTCACATTTTATTATCACGGATAAAATGTCATCATCAGCCCTGGAACTAGATATTATACTGAAAGAGTGCCATTGAAGATGAGATATGGTTGGTATCTTCAAAAATATTACACTTGTAGGGTTATATTTCAGCCCTGCGAAATCGTTAAAACAAATCGTTTAAATAGTTTTTTACCCTCATCTTTTTGCAATTCTAATGGTCAATTTCAGACTGCTCTAAACAAACTAAATACCTGGATCTTTGGGCAGAATTAGCTCCACAGCTTTGCCAGGAAAAATTCTAGCTGAAACCATGCAAGTTTTTGGACTTGATTGTATGATTTGGATCAATTTATCAAGGCTAAAAAGGAATATTCCTGGGAAAACCGTATAAAAATGCCTATCCCCACAGTGAAACAAGAAAAATACTAGAAAAACTGCATATAAATGATGTGTGTAGTAGAAGATTTCAAACTGTCTTCTTCTAATTTGGGGAAGTGAAGTGACCCAAATGACTAGCCCCACAACGAGTGTTATCTCCCCAGCGAAGTATATGCGTCCAGTGTTTTGCCACTTCCAAATCTGTTTGAAAAATATGATGAGAGAAGGAGAACTACTCACTATCTACTGCCACAAGTACTGAACGTATATTCAAAAATCTATCCGGTAAAGAAAATGCTTCCGAAATTAAAATAACAGAAGAGACATGATTTAGACTTCACCTCATCCTGAATGTGGTGACTGACCCCCCATACCAACAAAGTGCTTGCACCATGTATTGTAGCAAAAAGTATCATTGCAGTTCCGACCCAGGTGTGATATCTAACTGAAGCTTCAAACTGAATGCCAAGTATGCGAAACACAGTCAACCCTCTTAAAATAGGAAGGAGCAACAAAGCAAGGCAAGCCTCTGATAGCAGGCCAAATCGGGTTGCTATTCTGTGATACTTGAGTTGCCATCTGAAATCAAGATATTAACTCGGTGAAATAATAGCTTTTCTACCAATCCAAGATAGGTGTATCAAGAACACTCACGTATTCAACTTCAGTGATTTGTATGGCATCAGCTTTTTGAAGTCTGCAGAAATACGAGAGTAGTAGGTCCATGCTAAGAAGACCATAAAAAGGAAAGCTACCAGTATTTCAACACTGGACAAGATTCCCACTGTACTGTTCACCACCAGTGGGTTTGAGAAGAAGTTTGATTTTGATGGACTCCTTGCGCTTCTGTAGTTCCAAGGAAACAAATTTTGAAGAGAAATGTCCACTATTATAATTGAACAGCTCTTGATATTTATATACTATTACCTGCTTTGATATCCAGCTTTTAAATCCAATAAAAGAAGTCCAATTATTGCAATAGCAATTATAGGAAACGTGTACACAGCGAAGCTAAGACCTGCACAAAAGTATAATCCATCTTTTTACATCTAACTAGCATTTAAGTTCTTGGAATTTCAGGAGCTGTTTTGCAGCAGCAGTTAGATTGAAGAGAAACAAAAAAGGATTAAACATGGTATAAGTTGAGATTCCGCGTTCTTACCATAGTATCCAAAAATTGTATTATTGGCGCTATCTTCTAATTGTTTCCATTTTCTTGTCCATAGTTGGGTGGGCTTAAGAAGCCAAAGAGAAACCCAACCTGCGAATATGAAAATGATCAGAATTTTTAGAGCAGCCGCAAGTGAAGTGGTGCTGGTTGCCATTTTTGACTGCTTTTCTTTATTTTCACTTCATTAAATATGATAAATAACCATGAATAAAGGAATCTAAATAGGAAGATTGGTTGCCACTTAGGAAGTAATGTTGGCCCCGCCACTTCCTTTTAGTGCCTGTCACTAACGTACCATTTTCTACAGTAATTTCACAAACTCTTCCGACCTCAAGCCACGTGTTTGCTGGCTCCATCGGTTTAATTTTTAAACCCCATCTACTTATATTAAAGAAACAAAACTTCATAAATTACCTTAATTTCAACTTCTAAGCTTTTTAAAACTTTTTAAACTGAACAAGGTGTAAAACCTTTTTAACAAAACAAGTTCTCAAGTAGAGGTTAAAGAATAAGTAACTTAAATCCTTTTTCTACTGTCATATTTATGACCTTAAATTTGTCAGACATAGGTCATAAGATTTGTATATTCGATTGTTAAGAAAAGAAATTCATGGTGGATTAATTATGTCCACAACTTGATTCTCAGTTTTCATCATTTTCGGATTACATGAATTCACATTTAGCAGTTGACATTAGGTGTATCTAATCACACAGAATAATCTTGCATAATACTTTTTTCTTTTTTTAATCTAATTGTGTTACTCACTTTAACAAAGTGGTAATGTGGCTGCTCTTGGTTATAATCATCCAATTTTTTCTTTCTGGATAGTTCTTAGATCCGGATCAGATAGTGGGATTCTGGTCCCTGCCACAAACCTTTTCCCTCCTCCATCCATATAAATTTCTTATCAGCTTATCCTAGTCCAAATCTATCATGTCATGTTAGCAAAAGGAATCACTTCTACTTTCGCTGAATCTCCAAGTTTTGAGATTATCTTATGGTTTAACTATTTCAGAACTCATCAAAATAGTTTGCAGTTTATTATTTCAGCATATTTCAATAATTCAAAATAATTTATAAAACAGCTTATATGAAATCAGTTTTATCTTATTTCTTTTTCAATTACAGAAACAATCATGCACAGAGGTGTTAAAGATTTAGTCCATAAGCAATTAAATAAGTTTTTACACTAAGGTTGATATCTTGCGGATCAAATAATTAGTCTTGAAAGAAGGATTTGGTTCATTCTTACCCTTAATTTTTTTAATAAGGAATTTTTCCTTTAGAACTCTGTTAATGATATTTCAAGATTAAGTCATAACAAAACAACCAGATATCAAACTAACAATATTTCAAATGTCAAAGCAACAACATTTTTGGATGTGGTGACTTTAATATTATAGAATAATAATAATAATAATAATAATTAAAAAATAAATGTTTTGTAAGAATTTGGATGATGTAATACAAAATTTTCATATATATTTTTTTGTTTTAGATATAGGTAGGTTAGAGATTTCAATCTAGTGATCTATTAATTTGGTAACCGTGGACCCAAACAAGTCAATCTGTTTATATATATATATATATATATATATATATATATATATATATATATATATATATATATATATATATATATATATATTTACATTAAATCTATGATGTAATTATTTTTAAGATTTTAATATTCTTAAAAAATTAAAAATATGTGTTTACTAATGTTGTTAGTTTATGTTATACATTTAATTTTTCTAAATACTAATGAAAATATAACATTCAAACGAAATTTAGACTAAATTATGTGACATTCCCAAACTTTGAAAGACAAAAAGATCTAGTGAACTTTACGTGGACTTTTGATATGGACTTAGAGTGGTTGAAAAAAAAATTAGCAGAATTTTCTTTGGAAAAGAAAAATTGACAACTAATGCGATAAAACAATTGCTTAAAAATATAAAATCTTTTGATCAGATGAAGTCAAAAGTTTGATTTAAGGACATGGACAAAATAATTGTATGTTAAGAATGAGACTTAAGCCTCTTATAAACAATTAACCAACCTTTTTTATTCAACATCGAATGAAAAAGTTTCGATGGGTTAAAATAAGTATTGTGATTTACATCATATACTTGACAAAATGAGTTCGATGAATGTTCAATGGCTTTTATTGTTAATGTTATTAAATTAACACATTTGAGACCGATTTTATTCGTCATCAAATTAGTTTTTATAAGAGAGAAGTATTGTGAATTATGATTGATCAGTTCTAGATGGATATTAGTTTGTGATTAATAATGATTATGGACAGCAATGACAACAAGTAACATGTATTCACTTTACAATAATATTCCAAAGTAATTGCATCTCATCGAAAATAAAGGTCTTTTCAAGTGCATCCAAATGTTTGTTATTTCATATGATGTGCCAAGAGCCGTTGTTGGAACGTTAACACCTTAAGTAAACAATGTCATTATTAAATATCCTTAAAATCTGATACACGACAGCTTAAGGCGTTCAGGGATTTTAGCATTGACATCAACGAAAGGTTATTATTACTTTGGTAGTAAGATAAACAATTCCCCGTATTCGTTTCTTCTTGGCAAATAACATTTCACAAATTTCTGTTTGCTGGTTAATTTTCCTGCTGTCTTTTTTCTGCAAAGATTCTGTTCATGAAGGGAACGTACTTAAAACAAGCCAAACTTCGGAATTAAGCTGGCATTAAGCAAGCACCCATGTGGTCGTTTTAGAGAATGGAAGATACATTCCACTAATACCATTATGACCTTAGAAACTATGCTACAATTCTCTGATACCAGGATATCAAAACCTTACTTTAAGAGTTAGAGGTACATAGCCAAATATGATATGGTCCTAACTAACACTCAAGGATCAAAGTTAAAGCGATTATAGCAAGAAGCCTACATTGTTACAACTAAATAGCCAAAAGACACTATTGCCACACACTAAAAAAAAAAAAAGTAAAAGGGGTCAGCATAGTATGACATGTCCAATGACCTGCTGATATTGATAAAACAGTTTTCAGCTAAAAATATATAGTTAAATTGACAAAAGAGAAACTCCTTTTTCACCTAGTTTGAGGCTTTGATAGCAACGAAGCCTTCATATAATGCCAATTTAGAAACAACCAATTCCTTTCTAATGCTACCCTCGATATGTAATGTGAGGAAGTTGAGACAAAGAGGCAGAAATATGGAAGATGTGAATCGCACCCCAAGAGAAGCAAAGGATTACTATTCTAGATCAATATGGTTGTCAGAAACTGCGCAGGCATTTGGGGATCTTAAGAGAAGTGACAGAAATGGAGTTAATGGCTTTCATTTTACTGCTGGTAGAGATTCCTTCGTCTATAACTCCCAAGAAATTATGACTCCCGAAATTTCTGGAGCATTTGAAGAAATCAAAAGTGTAATTAGTTCCAGAAATGGAGTTAATGATGAGGTTGTTGGCCAAGAAAACGGTGAATATGACCGCTATTCTATGCAAACGTTGTCCACAGAAATCGTGGAAATAGTTGAGGATGGCAAGAGCATAACAAAGGACAAAGATAGAAGGGTTGATGATCTTTATGTTGCTGTTGGCAAAGATGACTTGGATGTAGTGAAATGGGCTCTTGAGCATGCTGTTTCTCCCGGTTCCCGGATTTTTCTTATTCACGTCTCTTCTCCAATAACATCGATTCCTACGCCAGGTAATAACTAATCTTTTGCATTTTTCTCTCACATTTCTATACCAAGACTTTTCCATTTGGGTTCAGTAGATTAGTTCTGTTACACAAAACCAGATTTTGCTGGGAACCTTTCCTTTGGTACATGTTCTAGTGACACCTACATCTTCAGTGAGAATATGATTGCTTGTACACGCCATTCTTTAGTATTCTGCTCTCTCTGTACTGAGACAATGCCAATATGCCATTGCTTTATTATAACTAAAAAATTTACATTATTTTGGCTTGTATGATCTTTAGTAGTGGTGAGTTTGTGAAGCAAATTCGACTTAGTTTGAGAAGTGTAGTGATGGGACATCCTATTAATTTCTGGTATAAATTGTAGCATGAGTGTTTCAAAATTGTACATTGTTTATCAAGAATACATTCTCAATCTCTGAATTTGAAACTTCAAATAATACGTGCTTGGTGGTAATGACATATCTGATAGTTGGAAGGTTTGAAAGAAGTAAACTGACTCCACAACAAGTGAGACTATACGTGAATGAAGTGAACATCAAGAGGAAGGATCTTTTGCAGAAGTACATTCAGATGAGTAATGAAGCCAAGGTAATTACTTGATTATTTTATGACTATGCCATCTCTATAGTTTATTTAGACCACAAACCATATGCTAAATTAATCAAATTCTCCATGTACTTTCGTCTCCCAGGTAACTGCTGAAACGTTGCTTCTGGAGAGCAATGATACAGGAAAAGCAATTCTGGATCTCGTCTCCATTCTTAACATAACCAACCTTGTCATTGGAATCAAAAAGCTACCCTATACACGGTATGCTATATTACTGCTTGGATTTCATTCAAAAATGAATAATGAGGGGTAAAATTTTATATCTTAAGTAGGCATGTTCTGCTTGACACTAACAAGTAATGCAGCTATATATAATCTGTGACAAAACCTGCTAATTAATCGCATTTTTTTTTCTAATTAGAAGAAAGTGTCCATGAAATGACAAAGTCAGAAGCACATGTTAAAGATCAAGGATTATGTATCTTCCTTCTCTAATTTGTTGTTTTGATCAGGCGCAACCACAAATTGAGCAAAGGAGAGTTCGTAAAGAAACATGCACCGAATGCCTGTGAAGTTACCTTGGTTTATAACGGAGAGGTGTTTGTGTCTGATCCTTACATGGATGGCTTGGTATCCTATGGCCAAGCATCACACAGTAAAAGTCACTACAAAAACAACTTCTTTCAATGCATGTGCTTTTCAGGCAAGTTCAGTTCTGTCAACTATTGATTTTGTTGGATGTTTTGTTTAATTTATGGTCTCACACACTCATTACTCTTGGACCCCTTGCTTACAGGGTGCATGAAAGAAGACAATGATAGCTAGTTCATTTCTCACACCAGCAAAAACAAGTGGTCGGTCAACTCCTCAAGTAGATTGAATTTTCCAGCCTCTTGACTTGCTGAATGAAACTTACAACTTTCAATTATGGGGAAGTAAATCGGATCATATTAATTTTTCTCAAATGGATATGAGCGGATTTCTATTTTAAATATATTAGTTACATTGTTTATATTCTATTCTTATGTAAACTGTACAAGCAGCTTTTTTTTATTATTATTATTAAATTAAAATTATAATATAAAGTTACTTATCTTCTTTTAATCAGGTTTAATTGCTATTTTGGTTTCTATATTGTAATTTTAGTTTTTTTTTTCTTTACAGTTTTAAATCCTTATCTTTTTAATTATTGATAATTTTGATCCTTAATAATTATTGATAATTATTAACTTTTAATTTAAAAAAAAAACAATGTTTTCAATCATGTTAAAAATGTTATAAGTATTTTTTTTTCTTCCTCCAAATTCACCATGTCATGTGGAAAGTAATGAAAATATAAATAATTAAATTTAAAATTGAACAAAATTACAAAATAATTTCAAATTAAGAAATTAAAATTGTGTGACAAAATTAAGTGACGAAAATGATGAATAATTAAAAATTAATTGACTAAAAATGAAAAAAAAAGGTACGAAAATTGTGAAGTTGTAAAATAAAGATAATAAAATTATAATTGGTTTCGTTCCAGTTGTTTTAAATTTTAACCAAGTTTGGATTTAAATTTACTGATGCAATCAAATTTTTCTGTCTGAGTTGTGACAGTGGTAAACTTACTCGAATCTCAATCATGGTGCAATTAGGAATATAAGTTATATTTTTGAAAGATTCTCTTCCACAACTTGTCAAACAAATGCTTTTGAATGTCTAATTATTTTGTCATGAAATTTTGGAAAAATATATTAGATGAATTGTTTTTATATAATATTAAAATTTATTTTAGGTTGTAAAATTGTTTAGGGGAAATGTTATTATTTGATTCCTTTGAAATGAGGAAGATTTATACTATTATCGATTATCAATTTTGTATAGAGATATTATTTTTTAATGTACATTTTTTTAAAATGAGTTTTTCTTCAATTTAGTTGGCATGCTGGTTATAAGCACATGGATGCGATATTATTTTTGTTGAATATTTCTCGAACGACAACAAAAATGTAATTGAAAAACGTAGTTGAAAAAAATATATTTTCAGAAGATTTATATAAAAATTATTATAAATATACCTATACAAAAAATCAATTTGTTAGTTAAAACCATCCTCTTTTATTTTCTATTTTAAAAAATCAATCTTTTATCTAATAATATTTTTTTATTAATAGATAAAAATTATTTGGTGCGACTGTTATTTATTTAACTTTATCTTTTGATTTTACTATTGAAGTCATCCTTAAAACTATCTAGAAGTCTTTTAAATTTAACCATTAACACTAAACCAATCTTTTTAAACCACTTTTAAAATTGTTCATTTTTAAATTTTATTAATTAAAATGATCTCACCTTCATATTTTTATATCTGATAATTGGTTTTCTATCCCATTCTATCTAATTAAAACTATATGGTCCACTTATAATCATAAACTTAAGATTAATAGCTATGTATTTCATGATACTTTATAATCTAAGGGTATTAATATAGTTAAGTTTTATTAATACACCTTACTCTATATACACGAATATAACTATTAATATTTTTGTTTTAATTAAAATTTTATGACAACTAGTTATAATTATTAAGGGGTGAAAATAAATTTATTATCATGGCTCCTAAAAAATTCGAAAAATAAATTAAATTAAAAGATTTATAATTTAAATTGAATTTGATTAAGTCTATTTAAGATATGTTTTATATTGATTTAAGTTAAATTAAGAACCAATTTATTTTATAAAATAATTATTGTTTTTAAATAAAAATAAAAATTATTTTATTATATATATATATTATAAATTAATTTGATAATAATTAACTTATTATTTAAAATAATAAAATAAAAATAAATAATAATAATAATAATAAAATAAATTTTTAACTATATTAAATCATCATAGATTAAATAAAAATTAACTTTATTAATATAATCTAAATTTTAAAAATATATATTTTTATTTAAATATTTTTAACTAATTATTTAAATATAAATATTTAATTAATTTTTTTATTATTAATCAAAATAAGATCAATATCTTAATATAAGATTAGATTTTATTTTAAAATATAAATTAGATTAAATTATTAAATTTTTAACTTGTTTCATAAAATTATGTAGTTGAGGGACGGACTATCCCTTCTACCACCTAATAATTATACATATATGATGATTCTTTTTTTTATTTTCATAAAAATATTCAATTAGACAATTACATGAAGTCAAATTAAATCAATTTAAAACAATCCACCAAAAATTCTTTAAACAATGTATATGATTAATCAAGCAAAATTGTAACCCATACCTAATACAATTATATATATATATATATATATATATATATATATATATATATATATATAATTTCATTATCAACCCAGTTTTATTTTAAAATAGTATTATAATTATATTTGAAATTAGTATAAAAATATAAAAATAATAAAAACTGGTAGAATAATATATTCTATAACAAAATATAAAATATAAAAATAATTATATATATAAAGAGTTTATAACTGTTTTTTGATGTCATTGAAAAAAATTAAAAATATTACAGTTTAAAGAAAAAATAGATATTATGATTATATATTTAAAAACAGTATAAGTATGAGAAGGAGGAAAAAAAAGTAGATATATTTAAAGAGTGGAAAAAAATAAATAATTTTTTCAAAATAATATTTTTTAAAAATTATTTATATACAATTGTGAATATGCAGGTACTATGTTTCTACAAATTCTCCTTTTTTTTCATAACTATTTTTTTCTTCAAATAAACAAATTAATGCTATGAAAAATTTAGACATATAAGTTAGTGTTACCACTATAATTAATTAAATATAGAGAGAAAATTATTTTTTAAATATTGTAATCATTAACTAAATATATAAGGAAAAGAATAAATTTATTTTATAACTAATTAGCATCATAACTTAATATATTATTTATCTTAATCTCATATATTATTATTATTATTTCACTATATATTTATTTATTTATTCTATAATAAAATTAATAAATAAAAATTATAAACAACTGTGATTTCTGTCTAATTTTGAAATATCTTCAATCAAACGTCACTCTCTTCTTACAATTTTTCACGTTTATTTATCCAACAATGCATGATTTCAGGAATAAATATCTTTCAAAATATTTTCTCAAATAAAAAACTATCATTTCAAAACACCTTCGACTATTAATTTTTGTAAGGTAGTTTTAGAATTTCGAATTTTCAATCAAAAATTTAAAACATTAATAACTGTTTAAACTTTTTTCTATTTTAAAATATTGTTAAAAAGTTGAAATTTCATTAATTTTGTAAGTGCAAATAAACAGTAATAAATTTAGATTTTTTAATCATAAAATACAATAACATGATAGAAATGCAAATCACACTATATAATAAATTTTAAGATTATTAATATATATTAATTTAATTAAATTTAAAACCGTTTAGTTATTGATTTTTATTTTATTATCCTATCAGAGTACTACTAAAGTTAAAAGCAAATAACTTTGTCAGAAAAGGACACGGATGCACACAAATGCAGGACCAATGAACTTGGTGGTGGTGAGATTTTGAATGGACTACTATAAGACGTGTCAATAAGTAAGAAAAGGTAGTCTTTTTCGGTCACTGTCAAATACCAATCTGAGCGTGGGCATTCCAGAATCCCTTGTAATACCATTGTTTCTGGTTTTTGTTTTTCTCCCACCCAATTCCTCTACATTCACAGATTGGGATCTTTTCCGGAACCCTACAGTCTTGCGAGATGAATCCCTACGACAGATACTCCAATCCTGCCCGATACTCCAATCCTGCCCCTTTTCACGCTCGTCGCAGGTAAGTTCTCTCATTCCTTTATTTTTCCTTTTGCAATTCGGTGAAAGTAAATAAGAATCATCTTTTGTCGTACTCTTGTGATAGTGATTTTGTTGGATCTATTCCGCCGCCTTCGTTCGGCAGTCGTGGCGATGCGGTTCCCTACGGCATCTTTAGACCTAACGGGTTAGGATCCAGACCCGTTTCTCCGATGCCGCCCTTCGTGCCCCCTCCTGGGGGATTTCACTTAGGGCGAGGTAGTGGTAGAGTGGGCAATGGTCACGTAAGTGATAGAAAACACGATGTAGGTCGTGGGGGTGGTGGGAGAGGTCGTGGCGGTGGTAGAGGCGTAACTCACGGTTTTAGGGACTCCAGGAGAGGAGGTAGACACGATGGTGGGTCTTCTAGAGACGATTTGAACAACGTTACACTTCCGAAGCAGAATTTTAAGAATTTGGTCCCTTTTGAGAAGAATTTTTACGTGGAGTGCCCTGTTGTGAGAGCCATGTCTGAACAAGAAGTTCTGCATTACCGTGCTTTTAGAGAGATCACCGTGCAAGGGCATGATGTGCCGAAGCCTGTACGGATGTTTCACGAGGCGAACTTTCCTGGTATTTTTAGTTGTTCTTTCTCTTGCCTTGCCTTTTCTTGCTTATTTATGTTTTTTCTTGATTCATTTGCCTCATTGAATGTTATGTTACTTGACGGGTCAGATTATTGCCTTGAGGTCATTTCCAATCTGGGTTTTGCTGAACCCACTCCAATTCAGGCTCAGGGTTGGCCCATGGCTATGAAGGGTAGGGATTTAATTGGCATTGCTGAGACTGGCTCGGGTAAAACTTTGGCGTATTTGCTTCCTGCTTTAGTGCACGTCAATGCTCAACCTCGACTAGGTATGTATTGATTTCCTGCGTAGTCTGTCATATGCTAAGTTTCCGTTTTATTATGTTATGATGAATGTGTTCAACGCTTTGTCAGCATATGGTGATGGTCCCATTGTCTTGGTGTTAGCGCCGACTAGAGAGCTAGCTATTCAAATTCAAGAAGAGGCTCTGAAATTTGGGTCTCGAACAAATATTAGAAGTACATGCATCTATGGTGGTGCACCAAAGGGCCCTCAAATTCGTGAACTTAAAAGAGGTACTAAGTTTGCCTTTACTTGTGTGAACGTATTGTATTTTGATCATAGTTTTGGAATAAGTGACTAACTTTTGGAGCTTGGCAGGTGTTGAGATTGTTATTGCAACACCTGGTCGTTTAATAGATATGTTGGAAGCTCAGCACACAAATCTTCAAAGAGTGACTTACCTTGTGTTGGATGAAGCTGATCGAATGCTGGACATGGGTTTTGAACCTCAGATACGGAAAATTATTGGCCAGGTACTGTTTGCAACTAACCTGTAACCAATAAATACTAAGCAGTGGGGATAAAAATCTTGAATCTATTTCCATCTGTGTTTCCGATGGTTTCCCAACAAAATTTCCTGCACAGGTCCCTTTGTGGTCTGGATCATGTCTTGGGTATGGTTGTGCGTTTTGGGTTCTTAGTAATGAAAAGCTAGGAGATGATAAAAATTTCAGGGAGGATAGAAAATGATACTAAATTAAATAGTACTCAAAAGCAACATTATTTCAAATAAGGGTATGAAGAATTCCACTATTCCACACATTTTCCTGAACTTCCATCGGCTTTTCTTTAAAATAATTCAATTCAGAAATCCGAAGCAAACTGGGATAGCAAATAACCTGGAGTCTGCGAGTACCAACATGAGGCTAGCCCGTGGGTGAACCTGCACTGACTTTGATAGGGTATGGGTGTTACCCGAATCTTCTCACCTGGATGGGGATGGGGGAGATAAATGATGCTAACTCAAAAAAGTACGAATAGATTGAACACTTCTCCTAAGAGAAATGGGCCAAACAAAGTTTTCATGATGATACGGTGAGGGGGAGGGTTCTGGTATGGGAGACTGATGAAGAAAGACATGAATCAAAAGTCTTCAAGCAATGTAGGATTGCTCTCTGTTTCCTCTGTTGTATGTAATGGGAGGAGGTGAAACAACTTCAGCTGGACTGAGTTGGAGAGAATAAGGTTGATCATCTTCTTGACGTGAGGTTTCAATGGAAGGAACCATTATGGGACTGAGTGATGGGATAGGTAAAACCTGTTGTAGTGAAGAAAAATTTTGCTTGGAGGATGAAAAGAAGAGTTTTTCATCAAAGCAGGTAACATCAATGGACATATAGTGCCTTTCCATGATAGGAGAGTAACATTTATACCCCTTTTAAAGACAAAAATATCCTAGAAAGCCACATTTAATAGCTCTTATAAAAAGTTCATCTAGATGATTGAATGATGAAATTTAGGCAAAGCAATAGATGAAAACAAGGGATTGTTACCATAAAATGGTCAAAAGCACTTTAATCGACAGTCTGATTGAGAAATACTAGCCGTTGAAACACTTGGAATCACAGATGATTGGGCTTGGCTGTTGGATTCTAGCCTAAGAGATTCTTGATACTTTTGATCAGAAAATTTTGGTTTAGATTTTTCAGATTTAGATATATGTAATTCCTTGCAAGAAAAGCCATGCAAAGATTAATAAGAATTTTTTTAGTATGTCCATCCTTTTACAATATGAATATTGAGGGTGACCACTTCTACTATCATGCCCTCCACGAATTCCACAACCTTCTCTTCCTCAAGTAAATACCATTGTTGATGATTCAAGAGGTTTAGACAAACTCCCACTCCTTCTCAGAGTTGGAACACGAAGAGATGTGTAGTAAGCTTTTCCATTGAAGGAATATCTTGACCTGTCAAAATTTGTTTGTGAATATGATCAAAATCTGAATTCATGGGTAGACCATGTGAAACATATCAAGTTTCTTCTTTTCATCTACAAAATTAACTTCCAAAATCATTTTCAGTTCTTGAACTGTAGTTTAGGCTTGAGTAACAAAAGACACCATGTCATGATTAGATTGCTTGAAAGGTGTCAACGTGCCAGCCGAATCATGTAAGCACTGAATATTGTTGCCAAAGATATTTACAGTCTTTCTCCAAAGGACGGGCTTTGAAGGTCCTCAAGATTCCTAAAATGTTGGGCTCTATAGATTGCCACAAAAAAGCACAAAGATAGAAATCAAGCTTTTTCCACTGCTCTTGACTATCTGATGGCACTTCAGTTATATCTTCTCCAAGTGATAATGATATCTCCACTGAAGCCGACCAAGGTAGATAGTTTCTGCCATTGAGTTTCTCTGAAGTTATGGTTGGAGTTCCAGAAATGGAAAAAAATAGGGCCAGAATGAGCCATGTTGCTGGAACAGTGAGGAAAATAAACTCAAGGGACGGAGAACTCAAACCCAAACCCACTTTCCAAAAGGAGAAGTGAAGGAAAGTGAGGCAGGTTCTGCCTTTGCGACCAGCTAATAGGAGTTACACCTGCCAATGGTGGCTAAAGCAGACAGTGGGGACGGCAGTGCAGCATTGACGGATGGTGATTGGATAGGGCAAAAACGGGAATTTTTCACTCAGCTATAACACAGACACGCACATGTGTGCCTGTGTGTGTGTGAAAAGTCAAAATAGGTACATTGTGATAATAGGAGTGCAGACTGTTGCACCTACCCAAATGACATTGAGAGAGAAAAAAAGAAAGATTGACCGTTACAAGGCACATAATAATATAAAATGCATATATTCATTTACTTGTGATAAATATGTACAATATATTTGAACCACTAAATCTTGTTTAAATCGTTAAGATAGATAAATACACGTAACCTTTTGAAGTGATTGTATTGTTAAGTAACTTTAAATCTTGACCATCCATGTACAGTTTGTACGTTTTAGATTTATAGTTATCACATTCTTATATGACCGAGTAGTTTTCATATTGATCATGTATAAGAGGTTCATTTAGATACATTTGTGATTTGAAATACCAGATTCGACCTGATAGGCAAACATTATTATGGAGTGCTACATGGCCAAGGGAGGTTGAAACTTTGGCAAGGCAGTTTCTGCGCAATCCATACAAGGTTACTGCAATAGTGTTCCCACTTCTCTTCTCTTATTTTTTGCTATTATTTGTCATTTATGGATATTTAAAGTTGTATTTACTATTTTTTCAAAGAAAATAATAATTTTGTGCTATTAATTGACTTGATTAAATGTCCGTCTGGGTGATTATTGATGAGTGCATTTTTTGCGGGATATCATGATTCTGTAGGTAATTATCGGATCACCAAACCTAAAGGCAAATCAATCTATAAATCAAGTTGTTGAAGTTGTATCAGACATGGAAAAATACAAAAGGTTTGTGTCCTTACTGATAATAGACAGTGGCCATTGTTTTTGCTTTCCAAATTAACACTTTAGCTTGAAAATGCAGATTAATCAGACTGCTGAAAGAAGTCATGGATGGGAGCCGAATTCTAATATTTATGGAGACAAAAAAGGGATGTGATCAAGTTACAAGACAGATGAGAATTGATGGGTGGCCTGCACTATCCATCCATGGTGATAAAAACCAGGCTGAAAGGGATTGGGTCTTGGCTGAATTTAAGAGTGGCAGAAGTCCAATTATGACTGCCACTGATGTCGCTGCACGGGGTCTTGGTAGGATCACTGTGTGTTTAGAAGCTTAGGATTTTTTATCTAGGTCTAAAACTTTAACCATAGAGCAAGTTGGCCGGCTGCTGTCCAGTTCTCCTCGATATAATTTGTGGTTTGGGTGTGTACGGGCCATATTGTCAGTGTGTTGGAACTGCCAACTTGACCAAGGGATTACTGACTTGCATCCTGAGATGAAATTGTTTTGCTGCAATCAGTCGACTGCATGTTTTTGTTATTTTGGGAACTAACTTTTTAGGTGCAAGTTATATGGATTCCTGGGTCAGAGTTCCTTTGATATATGGCTTGGATATTGATCTATAACTTCTGAGGTAGCATATCACGTGTGGTCATGTAAATTTCATAGAATGGTTCAATGCATGGTTACATGCTTGGCTAAAGAAGGTTAGTTATCAATAATTTATTAGTATAGACTGAAGAGATATAGATCATTTGCGTGTCATACGTTTTTTGAGGACATAGTCAAATTGATTGATCCCCATCCACAATTATGGAGCTGATTGTATTTGCAGCCCGGTCGACTCATACATGCTTAGTCAATAATTGGATGTGGTAGATGGCATGATGGTGAAGTTGCTCCTTATCCCTGGAAGGTTAAGGTGGGCACATTGATGTGATGAATGTGTTGAGTTTGATCTATTTGATCTCTAGAATCTTACAGCGCAGGGATAAGGGTTTTTGCCATTTTCTCCATTTTTAAACCTTGTACTTAATTTCTTATGATGTTTTACTTTGTTGCTTGTAGATGTGAAAGACATTAAATGTGTGATCAATTATGATTTTCCGTCAAGCCTGGAAGATTATGTACACAGAATTGGTCGAACTGGTCGTGCAGGGGCCAAAGGAACTGCATACACATTTTTTACACATGCCAATGCCAAGTTTGCTAGAGATCTGATCAAGATTTTACAAGATGCTGGTCAGGTTGTGAGTCCTGCATTGTCTGCATTGGTTCGGTCAGCTGGTTCTGGTCAATTTCGTAAGCGGAATTTATTTATTGAAACTGTAGTTTGAGGTTTACATTAGAATGGCCTGTGAATAGTTCTTATAATTTTGTAGGATCAGGGGGAAGTTTTCGCACAAGAGGACGCGGAGGCTATGGAAATCGAGGTTTAACATCAGGGTCCAATGCTATTCCTCTAGGTTCGAAGAGGCCTTGGCAGTGTCTGTAGTTTTGGTGCTGCTTTTGGGCCTGCGTGCATTTGACCACGATTGCATTTGAAACAACACATTTTTTGGATTTAGGACAAAAATTAATTTTACTAGGACAAAAGTTTGGAAAGCATATGTCATGGATGATTGGTAGTACATGTATATAACCTATTTTTCTCCTTTGACTTGGTAAGAGCATAGCTTGAAAATTTGTCTCACTAGGCATGGTTGGGGGGGGGGGAGGGGGGAGAATGGAAGAAATTACTTGAGTTTCATTTCATATCCCGGATCACCGAAATTCAAACCAGACTTAATTTATAACTTCATTTGTATAATTGGTATTATTTTCAACTTGAACGATCCAAATTGAGTTGATTGTTGTCGTTTTAAATCAAAACATTTTTTTTTCTGAATATGTTAAGTTTAAGCATTTTTTTTGGGGTTAAATAAACTTTAGATATCTCCAAAAAATATCTATATTAAATTGGTATAATTAAACATTGTTTCAATGTTTTTAATATTCAACATTTAATAAATACGTAAATTTAATTTAAATAGTAATTTTGTTCCAAATATTTTTCTTTTATATCATTTCATTTAAGTTATAATTTTAAACCACATTTCTATGGAATAAAAATATGTAACAAAACCAAGCTTTAAAACCCTTTTTTTTTCGCTTCTCATTGTCATTGAACATCGGTCAGGGACAATTTTCTATCACTCAATGCATAGATAATTGAGTATGATAATATTTTAACTTGATTATAATTTAAAGTTTGAACCTATATATTAAATATTTGGAGGGAAGTTTATTGAACATGATTCCTGTGTAGCTATGTAAAATCCTACCCTGGGAAAGAAAATTTTGTTACTTGATTATTGATACAATTTGTAGTCTAATACAAACACTTAAACAAATGTTTCAGAGACATTACTTTCATTCGTATTTATATATATATATATATATATAAAATAAAGATTTAAATGTAAGATTTTCTGTGAATTATTTAAATTTCTAATCACTTGGTCGGTTCTAGTGGGGGCGATGTTAAACTAATTTTGTTTAAGATCTAGGATATCATTCACCTTTTACAGATTTTATCCCGCAAGACTGCGTCTCAAAATTTAATTCAAAATGGTGTTTATCATTAGGGAGATAAAATAAAATTGGTGAATTTTATATGATAATAAAAATATTTAGGAGTTTTTTTTTTTGCGAAAAATTAAAGTAATACATTTTTTTAAATATACATTTTTGAAAAATATTAATGCTGGAAAAAAAAATACCAACGTGTGTGAGAGATGATTGAAAATTACAAAAACAACAATAAGAGATAGGGTTAGAGAGGGAGGATAAATTAGTAAAACAACCAGCGACTATGTATTATATAAACTCAAAACCCTAATTCGCTGGTGCGGCCGTTCCGTGCGATAGATAGTGAGGGAGAGACGAGACAGAGGAAGAGAAGATGACGACTAGGTTTAAGAAGAACAGGAAGAAGAGAGGTCATGTGAGCGCCGGGCACGGTCGTATCGGAAAGCACAGAAAGCATCCCGGAGGTCGCGGTAACGCTGGAGGTATGCATCACCACCGTATCCTCTTCGACAAGTACCATCCCGGTTACTTCGGTAAGGTGGGTATGCGCTACTTCCACAAGCTCCGCAACAAGTTCTATTGCCCCATCGTCAACATCGACAAGCTCTGGTCCCTTCTCCCTCAGGAGGCCAAGGACAAGGCCACCGCCGACAAGGCACCCTTGCTCGATGTCACCCAGTTCGGGTACTTTAAGGTTTTGGGTAAAGGGGTTTTGCCTCAGAACCAGCCTCTCGTTGTGAAGGCCAAACTTGTCTCCAAGATTGCCGAGAAGAAGATCAAGGAGGCAGGTGGGGCCGTTGTTCTCACCGCTTAGGGTATTTTTGTTTTAAAGGATTTTGAGATCTATTATTTTTCATGTGTTTTTGGTTGTTTTAATCTATCTGTCTGAACTGGATTAGTTGGAATGGTTTCTATATTCTCAATGTTCCGGATTATATCGTTTTTCATTCGTATTATTTTGTCAAATGATAGTATTATATGCATAAATTGAACCTATTGGTTGTTGGGTCGATGCATATCCCTCTGGCGACTGGGGCTTTACCATTTGTTCATGTTTTTCAAATGCATTCCCATTCGTTGCAAAACATGCGCATATATTGTTTTTGCTTCAGGAAGGTTATAAAACTTTGATTGTTTTGGGCAAATTGACCCTTCGTAATGCTTAAACAAATGTGTTTGGGGTTTTATATTCATTTGTAGGCCTTCCATTAACCTTATAATTCTGTTGTTTGATGTTTAATGAGTAGCGGAGTGAGACAAGACAAAATGTCCTTACGGTGGATATAAATGTATTTAATAATGTGACTCTTACCTCTGTAATGAAAATGAAAATGAAACTCTGTTGTTTTATTTTAGCCCTTTCGGCCCTTTAGTGTAAACTTTTTGATGTCTCTTGTTAAAACATTTTTATGCAAGCCCCATTTCCTCCAGGATGGATTTGTCAAGATTTTAGACAAGATATTTATGCACCCTCGAGTGTCGTGTCTCTCGATTGATGGTTTTTGGTTAGTATTAGCGAATGGGATGAAGTGAAATTTAACATTGGTTTCCTCTCATCCCAGTCTTCATGGTAATTGATGGATAGTTATTCTCCTATGAGCCACTAGCGATAGTTTTCTTTTTTTTTCACTTTCAACCTCTTTATGAATATGTTAACCTTGTGGTGCATTTAGAAAGGTATAATAGCAAATCCTCATGGCCTTAAACAGAAACTGAGCCTCGGTCTTCCATTTGTGAGAAGCACCGGGAACGATCATGAATCATGACGTATGATATGAAACTAATTTTTATTAGGGTTTTTCACTTCAAATTTAGAAGAATTGAGAATGTTGCCCTTCTGAGTTCCAAGGATTTGTATATCAATTCAGACACAGGGTTGAAGGATAGATAAAATGCTAATGGGTGATAAAGCTGTAGAATTTTTAATTTCATTTCAGTTAAAAAAAATGGTAGTGCCCAATTTAAAATAAAGGATTTTTTATTAAATTGAAATACCATATTTTCGATTAAAGATAAAGGATTATTTGAAATTGAAATATACATGGAGAGAAATTGTCGAAGGCGATTTATGTCTCCGGCGTAGTTTTAGATTTTGGTCGAGGAAGTTCGTGAGGAGTCGAATTTTGGGAAGGTGGTTTCTTCTTTCTTCTGTAACTTTCAAAAATGTTTTTTAGACTATTTTTCTCTTTGGGCCATATCTTCATACTGTTTTTCGTACTACTTACACCTTCAGTCAAATATCATTTATCTTGATGGTTTATACTTTCAATATTTCAATAATATACATTTAAAAATTTCATAAAATATTAAATTTGATTTACATTTTTTTATGTTAAATCAAATTATTCAAAAATGAGTTTTGAATAATTAATTAGGAACGTGTTTTTAAATTATGTTTTTAAAATTTTTCTTAAAAATATTTTGGAATTAATTTTTTTGAAAATATTTTGAGAATTTCATTTTAGAATAATTTTTTTTTAGATAAATATTAAGGTGCAGGAAGAAAATATGAAGTGTAAGAAGAAACAGCGTCTTGCTAAACATGCTACTGAACCCATTTCTCTTGTTAGGCCCAAAGAAGTCTTTCTTGGTTTTTAGGCCCAAATTTTGTCACCACAGATAGAATGCCCTATAAGCAGGTACACGGGCCCCTAAACCAATTATTTGTTCTTTTGTTTAATTTTAAATAAGATTGTTTTATCTATTAATATAAACCTAGATTAACCAATGCTTAACCTGAATTTGTAGGTTGAGTTGAGTGGAGTGGACTTGTTACAATATCAGTTTGGAGAATAACTCAATCTTAATAATTGTGGTGGGATGATTTATACACGATTAAATAAATAAAAAAATAGTAGCTATAAAATATTTGATTAGATTGGTTAAAAAAATATTTCACAAAATATTATTAATCGTTAATACTTTTTAACAATATTTTACAAATCGTTCTAAGTAGAAAAGGTTAAAATTTATCTTTTTCGAACTGAAAAAATTCAATGCAACAATTATTCTGTCACTCATATTAAGTAATTTATTATAATAAATAATTAAGTTATTTTAATTCACATAAAAATTATATAAATATTTTTAAAAATTTTGTGGTTATCTTATTTCACTGAAACATATTTTAACACTTTTGAGAAATTATGATTATCAAAACGATTTTAGTCATTTTTAAGAAATATAATTATTTAAGAATGATGATTGTGAGATATGAATTTTTCCTATATTTAAACATTTTTCAAAGAGTAGCTTAAAGAACATGGGAAAAGTTTCAAAATAGATTTGGAAGAATTAAGAATAATTTTGTGCATATGATCACTTCATTAATGGTCAAATAACATATAATCGATAATATAAAAATGAGAGAATATATAAAAAAATAGAGAATATGAAAAATTTTAAAAAAATATTTAATTATATATTTAAATATCTATACAAAATTAAATGAATTCTAAATTATATAATATTTTATTTAGATTAATATAATTTTAATATATAATTGAATTTAAATATTAAAAAAGTGAAGATTAAAATTATAAATATATAAATAAATTAAAAATAAATTTGGGTCAGGACCAATGCGTACTAGTATAATGGAAATGATTGAGAAAATTAGGTTTATATTGCAATGTATTGAAAATGAGTGATGGGGTTGAATTACCACTTACTAGTTCAATAACTGAAATTAATTCATTTACTTGATAAATTCATGAAATTATGCACCTTGTAGGTGACAAGTGTCAAGTATAGCTCTCAACATCCATGGTGCGCTTATTAGATAGATGACTAAAAAAAATACAAGAAATTTGATAATGAAACTTAAAAGCAGAGATGGTTGAGTACAACTCATGTGCTAATAAAGCTTCGCTTGTACTTATTGAAGCTAACAAAAGTGTGCAACAGAGACACATCCTTCCAATATTTCATTAAATTTTAGATTATTGAAACAAAATATCAAATACTATTTTTTTTTTTTTTACAAAACCGGTAGATTCTTTTAATTAATTAAAAATAGTAATCTTGAAACAGATATTTGCACCAAAATGGAAATAAATTGGAGAAAAATCACCAATGAGCTGTCTCTCTTAATTAATTAACAAACCATTCTATATAAACATTTTCAGTTACTTGTCCTTTTAAAGTCAATTGTTTTATCACCTTACATTGGTATTGAGTCATGACACAAAACACATGTCTCAAAGAACTCTCCTCCGTTGTACCATTTTTTTAAAGACGTTTACCTTGGAAATATATTAGGTGTGGGTGTTTTACTAAGTGAAAATGATCTTTCAATTATTTTTTCTCAAAAAAATTGACAAATATTAATAATAAAGAAAAATAATCTTAACCAATGTCAAAGATTTAAAACTTACAAATATTTTATAGGAATTAAACCAAAATTTTATTTACAAGTATTATTAGTATATTTAAACTTTAAAATAATTCTACACCTACAACCTATTATAAAAATACCTTAACAAAAAAAACATACCTTTTGACATGAGATTAATTGAAGATATTTTAAGCTAAATATAACAATAACTTAATCTTGAAATGAAAATGATTACTGTTCGTGCATAAAGCAGTAAAGTTTATTTGGGCCCGTTCATTAAATTCATTGCTTAGCGGGGTACATTCTCTACGGATCCACTGTTAATGCCCACGTCACACTCCAATTATGAATAAAAGCAAATTCAACGAAATGTACTAACAGCCCTACCCCATACTTTTCTTTTCTAAATTTAAAGTTCATTTATTTTTCAAAAAGCTTCAAATTATTTTAAGCTTTATATTTGAAATAAAAACAAAGATAGAAAACTATCATTTTTTTTTCATATATAAAAACATCAACTACGATCACTACAATTAAGAGAAGAGTTGGTTGATTAATCTATAAAAATATACTATGTCGATTGAAAATTAAAAGAAACAGAAAAAAAATATGATCAGAATTATTTTTCAATGAAATCAAAAGATCGAGGAAGAAGTTAAAAAAAATAAAAAATAAAGATGTAGACAATGACTTTGAAAATTAAAAACCATTTTAAAAAATATTACTTTTGCAAATAAACATCAATGCAACGTAAGAGAGTCTAGTATGCTATTTTAGTTATAAAACTAATAAATAAATATTAAAAATTTATAATATTTATAATTATGATAAATGTAATTGCAATGATTACGTATCTCCACACAATTCTTTCTTATTACATATTATTTTATTTATTTTCTGTTTATATGAATGTTATTAGCATTCTATAATTACATATTTTCTTTATTAGTAAAAAAGTCTTAGAATTACATAAAAATAAAAGAATTATAAAAGGACGTAATATAATTTAAATTTAATTAAAAAAAATATTTTAACGTAGGCGATGGAATGATTGTAAAATATGAAGATTTAGAATTTGATCTCATAGGGTTTAGTCAACAACAACCCTGTGTTGACTTGACTCCATGTCTGCAACAAGTAAAGGAGGATCCTTATTCTGTCTTTCCAATATTATTTTATTCTGTTATCACTCTCTCCGTTGGAGTCCTTGTATCGTGTTCAATCTCAATTAACAACGAACGAACTGAGAAAAAAAATAAAAAAACATTAACAATAATTAATTTAATAAAAAAAACTTCACTCTTTCCTGTGACGTGGTAGGAAGAAGGAAGGAATGTATGTTTGTCGTGTCATGTTTAATTTTAATTTAGGCTTTAATCCTTTTTAATTATTAAAATTTGTGACTTACTATTGGCTGTCAGAGTCAACAATCCGGGGAAGGTAGAGTGGTGTGAAGAAGGAGCAACCAACAAACAAACAAGCTCTGGAATCACCCTTGAGCTCCAGTACAGTACGAGGAGGAGTACTAGAATTGCAGCTTCAATTTCTCATTTTCTTGATTATTCAATTAAATTAAATACCACGAGGATCATTGGTTGCTTCTATTCTATACCATCTCTGCTTCAGTGAGTTGAGTGTATAGATAAGATAACAGAGGGAGTGGTCAAAGAGCGAGGGGGGTTGGTGTTGTCTCCGATGATGGTTAACCCTAACCCTAATCCTACTCCGGAAGAGGAAAAGAACCTCAAAGAGGAGCTGCTGGGTCCCATCTTACTGGGAGAGCGCGTACTAAAACTGGCTCAGGAGGCGGAGTCGTCCAAGGTGGACTGCACGGACCTGGCGCGGAAGGTGCAGCTTGTGTGCGACAACCTGCGCTCCGTTGTGCGCGTCGTGTCGGGGGCGCAGTGCGTGAACGAGCGCCCCATACGCCGCATCGTCGGCGAGGTCTCCAAAAACCTAGAGCGCACGTTAGCGTTTGTGCGCAAGTGCAAGAAGCACGGCGGTGTCCTCCGCCAGGTCTTCTCCATGACCACCACCGCCGACTTCCGGAAGGTCTGGAACCTTCTGGAATCTTCCAACGGTGACATGGTGTGGCTCCTCACCATCTTGGATTCAAAGGAGGGCACCAATGTCTCCCTCCCCCCCATCGCCAGCAACGACCCCATCCTTGCATGGGTCTGGACCCTCACCTACACTCTCCAATTGGGTCAGCCCAAGGACCGCGCTGAAGCCGCCACTGAACTTGGCTCCCTCGCCAGAGACAACGACCGTACAAAATTCATCATCTTGGAGGAAGGTGGAGTTCCCCCCCTCCTCAAGCTTCTCAAGGAAGCTTCTTCCCCCGATGCTCAGGTTGCTGCTGCCAATGCCCTTGTCAACATTGCAACTAATCAAGACAGGGTCGTTAGTTTCATCCTAGAGTCCCATGCTGTCCCGACTATTGTTCAGGTCCTTGGTGATTCCCCTATGAGGGTTCGTGTCTCTGTTGCTAATTTGATCTCTGCTATGGCTGAGCAACATGAACCTGCTCGCGAGGAGTTCGTGAGGGCCAATGTGACTAGGCCCCTTGTGTCTTTGTTGTCCATGGATACTGTCCTTGCTGACCCCATGGCCGGTCGAGCTAGCATCCATTCGCTTGTTCTGAATTTGTCCAACGTTGGTGAAGCGAATTTGGATGGGAGTAGCCGCGGCTCCAGTCACCATCGGAGGGAAAGAGAAAGAGAGGTTGAGAGCTCGGAGTTGAGGAATGACGTCAAAATCAGCTGTGCTATGGCTCTTTGGAAACTCTCCAAAGGGTGTCTTTCAAGTTGCAAGAAGATTACAGAGACTAAAGGTTTGCTTTGTCTTGCTAAGATTATAGAGTCTGAGAGTGGAGAATTGCAGCACAATTGTCTTATGGCTGTCATGGAGATTGCTGCTGTGGCAGAGTTCAATGCTGATCTTAGAAGAGGTGCTTTCAAGCGAACTGCGCTGGCAGCAAAGGCAGTTTTGGATCAGCTTCTGAGGGTGGTTGAGGAAGAGAATGATCCGGCATTGCGGATTCCTGCCATTAAGGCAATTGGGTCCTTGGCCAGAAACTTCTCTGGAAAGGTTCCGCAAGTTCTTGGTCCTTTAGTTTCTCAGCTTGGTAACAGAGATGTTGATGTAGCCAGTGAGGCTGCCATTGCTTTGGGGAAGTTTGTCAGCCAGGACAACTACAATCGTATTGACCATTCTAAGGCAATACTTGAGCTTGACGGGGTTCCAAAGCTAATGAGCCTGCTGCAGATAAATGATCGCCAACAAGTTCATGGCCTGATATTACTTTGTTACCTTGCCTTAAATGTAGGTAACAGTAAGGTCCTTGAGCAAGAACGTGCCTTGAGTACCTTAGAGAGGTTTACTCGGCCTGTTCAAACACAATATCCTGATTTGAAGGATCTTTTTGCAAAGGCCATACATCAACTCACTCTTTATCAGCCAGGAGCTCAATTGCACAGACAGCCCTTGGGGCTGTAAGTGCCACTGATTGCGTTAATCAACATAATGATCCTTGTAAGTCTTTTGAATGGAAAAATAAGAGTGTATTGTACTTAGAAAATGATTTATTACATTGTGAAAATATCAAAATTTCAATTCGGTAGCCTATGGCCACTGTTATATGTGGTATTGACTGACTGGTTATCCAAATTATATGCATAAGACTGGTTGTCCCAACAAGATGAGTAAATTATACATTCGGAAATGTTGCACATGACATCATTTACACTTAATTGTATTTGATGTACCAACTTTTCTATTTCTAGTGACTCCTTGTCCTTGCTCTTTTCTCTTCATAAGTAACATTGCTATGATTTGAGTCTATTTTATAGACTTATGTTATATGTTCGACTTCTGTATACAGTATATACATGCACAAGGCCATAGTTGCTACTTATCTGCATTAGAGCACGGCATAGACCTTTCCTTTAAAAGAAAACAAATTAAACAAAGCCTTAAATTATGTCTATATGCATCATTACATTTTACTATGCATTCTCCCTCTGAATTTATGCTCTTCCCACATGTCGTTTCAGGGCCTGTTTATGCGTGTGTGTGTGTGTGTGTTTTAAGGGAAAAGTGGTTTGTAATTCAAAGGCATGTATAAATACTTGTAATCATTAGATGAGTTTTTCTTTTAAAAAAAAAACACTGTTTTACTACTTTTCCGGAAGCTAAAAATAGCAGCTTTTGAAAGCTCTTATAAAAGTAATACAAGCGTTTCTTTTTCCCGAAGTTTAGAAAACGGCACACATAGGATTATTCTGCATGTACATACCTACATTAAATTTTTTACTCTGATATTTGTCGTGAAACTCTTTTCTAAAATCAAAAGAAAGATTAATCCTTATCTGCTTTACCTGGGAAAAAAAAAATCGTATTCAAAGCACGGATATCAATGTACTTAACTTTTTCCAGTTGTAATTGCAATTCTTTTGTATTGACAAATTTTATCGCTTAAATGTCCCATTTGTTCAGGGCTTCCTTCTAGAGATCTAACTTCCTGCAGGGATGATATAAATAAACTGAAGCCATGTATTCCTTAGATTTGACTACTTCTGTTATCAAATTTGGATGAAAAAGAGAAGACTAGATATCAAATTTGTTCTCCTGTTATTATGTGAAGGGAGGGTATGAATCTTTTGCTTTGCTTGGTTAAAGCATAATAAGAGCTTGTACAACACCACTGATGATGGAAGTTGACGTGAGGATCTCTTGGGATGTACTTTTGAAGAGGCAATCTAGTGTTGGAGAAGGCTAGTGGCATAATTTTGGTTCAAAATTTATCCTGACTGCCATATCTGTAGAGTTCCTTGATATAGTTCACTATAAATCTACACATAATGCAATGGGTAAAGTTTGTACACGGTTGTCATGTCATGGGCTAGAGTGTCTTTGAAGTTTGCAGCTTGCATCTGGATTGGCTAGTTAAAAATATATGGACAAATATGTTGTTTTAAACAGTGAGCATGAATATCTTGCATTTTGTCGGTGGACGCATAATGTCAGCTAGACGTAACTGATGATAAAAGTTGACATGAGGACAATCCAATGTTTTGTGAAGTAAAGAGTGTGGCGATTGATGAGGAGTTCAAGACATGAGATTACTAGCAACACTGATTCTGAATTATCTTGTAAAAAATATTCAAAACTCCTTGGTTTCATGAACTGCATAAATCTACACAATAGAATGTCTGAAGCTTATACATATTTGATGCCTTATATGTGTCCAAAGCTTGTATCTGCCTTTCTGATAGACAAGGTGAAATATTTGTACGAATATGCTGTTTAAAGCCATTAACGTGTAGTTTTATTGTGCACTATTTATTTCACTCGGCTTCCATTTTTGTTAAACTATTCATTTTCATTTTGTTTTTGCATGAATTATATATACTGGAAAAAATTAAGTACTAATCTTTGACCAAGTTGTATACAGTAAAATGGACTAGTACGTGACCTGGTCTTAAACAAGGCGGAATGCATTTCTGTTTTCTGCTGTAAGTTGTGGTATTTCTATCCTGAAGATACTTGTGATAAGGCTGGAAGATACTATCTATCGTGGAATTAGTGTGATAACTTTGTTAGACCTAATCTGTTAATTGTTATTGAATGTCATCCCAGGAACTGGATTTTGTTGTTGGTTGTAACATAGTAATCAGATTGAAGACGATGGATGAGTTGATTAGAGCAGGGGAGACCACCCTAAATTCCCATTTGGTTCAGTATGCTAAATATCAGTTTGTTGTTGTACAGGCCCTGTCACAGGTTTTCAGAAAACAATATGCAATTACGTTTCTCAGCTTTAACTGATTGCAATTTGCAAAGACCATTTAAGCACGTGACCACAAATTTTTAGTTACACGATTACGTATCTAATACTATCAAATTCTGATTACACATCATTATATAATTAATTGCACACAAAGTGTACACTGGGTTCAAACAATGGTCATCCGCAAAGATAGATCACCCAAATTCAATTCCCATTTGACAGATAATCGAGCTGGTCTTTGCCTGTAGTAAATCACATCAAATTTCAAGACAGGTTTTTTTATTCCCACACTGAACTTTCATCAAGGAATCATTCTTCCTTTATCTAATGAAGTGGATCTGCTGTCACTTTTTACTAATGATGGTGTAGGGCTGAGTAACTCATTAAGAAATAAAGGTTTGTAAACTGCCATGTTGTAATTTTTGTCCATTACCAATAGTTTGGGATTGCACTTTACACAAATTATCACCAGCATCCTTAACTAAAACCCTTGGGAAATCACGTCACTGGGTGTTTGGTAACTCTTTTTCAATGAATACGAGGTGGTTTGTACCTGTAATTTCTTGCAAACTACTGTAAACCCGTTTTCTTCCTGGCCTATTCCTGTGACTTGTGTCGAGAGTAACTTGATTAAGAAATGAATTAATTCAACCTGCAATTTACTTTGTTAAACCAAGTAATCCATTGAAAATATGATGAAACTAGAAAGTCACAATCAGCAGTCGTATATGCAATAGAAGTCCGTCCATGAATACGCAGTTAGAAGTTTCGTGGCTTGAGTGAGGAAAGCGCAATCAATGAAAAACACATTTCCATGGATGTCAACTGGCAGCTTATGTTTGATGAGTAGCTATTATTAAGACGTTCAATTTAAGGAATGCTTTATGTACTTTTAAGTTTGTTCACTTTCTCCTTAGCCCAAAATAAATAATAAAAAAGAAAATAGAAAACACATCCTGTTTCCTTTGCGGTGTTAAGGTCATAATCACTTTCAACCCATAAAGCTGAATTCATTTGGTAAAAAGAAAAAAAGCACTCTGCCAATTTTTACCGGGTTAAAGAATCCCAAAATGTCAAACATCATCGATTTGAGATTATTTTGGTCCTCATGTCCTGGCCATGTCCATCAATTTCCTCTAGAAGCGTAAGCTCTCAGGTTAAGTTCAACGCCTCACTCATGCATTCTATTTAAAGCCCAAACACCATGCATCATTTGCTTCTACCTAACTTCATTTTCATTCTCCACTTCTTTACTTTGGTGCCATCTCCAATTGCGAATACAAATCAATTGTTAGCTACCATTTCAACCTCAACGTGTAAATTTTGATTAGCTTTTTTATATTTTATTCACGATAAATTGTGAACGGGTGAGTGAGCCCAGAAAAGCTAATCACATGTTACATTTGTCAATGAAAGTTTAAACTTACTACTCAAGACGCTTAAACTAGAAATAATTTTACCAAGTCATAGCATAGGGTCAAAGAATCTATTGAGAAGAATTCTCCACCAATCAAAAGTTGACGAGCTAATAAAAATGGTGGCGTTCACCACCTGAATGGGCCAATTTTTAAAATATTTATCAAAATAACCATGTTGAAAAAAAAGTATATAAATGGGTAGGTTGTGTTCCAAAACATGGGATATAAATTGGTAAGTTGTGTTCTATAATTTTGAACATCTAATTTACGATTGAAATTAAGGTTTAAAAAATGATAATATGTATAAAGAAAAACAAATGTATATATATTTGACTAACATGATAAAAAGTTGGGAAATTTTCTTTTCCTTTTATGCGGGAGACAGCATCTTGTCGGTGTCCCTATATCGTATAGTTAAGAATTTGCTAAGTTCAAAAGTCATTATTCACCAAAAGCAAAGCATTTCAATGTCACTTGTCGGATGCACCGTTAGTTGACCCGAAAAGGCTACGACATTACATAGTATTTCACTTCAACCATATCCTTAATATTTTCTCTTCCCCTTTTCCCACCTGTCTTTGTTAATTATACTTCTTTTTCACTTTTATCATCGCTTCATATGGTGCTCCAATTCCTCAGGTAGCTAACTACCAACTGCGTCGGCACCCACACATACATATGAAAATATTTGATCAAGTGTTGCTAGTAAATGACCCTTTAACTAGTATTTTTGAATACTTATTAGCCTTGGATTGGTTAACATGTAATCATAACTTGGAACCTGCTTTTGACAGCAATGTAATTGCCTCTGATTTTGCTGAGAACCATGATGACTTTTGACGGAAGAGACACGAATAACTGCCTCCAGAATCAGAAGGTGTTTGATAATTACCGAGGCTTGGCGGCAGGAGCTTTCGTAATTTGCAATAATATATGTATATGCGAAGCTAGCAGTGGCATAATTATCTATCTTTTTGTGATTGTCTATCATAATTTGAACCAATTGCCCAAACAGCCATACATGATAAACCAGAAGCGTCAGCATAGGCTAAACACTTAAGTTAATTAATTTATGATGTGGTTGTGTAGTATCCCTCTCTTGCTTTTATGGTATGGTTGTGTCTTAGTTCACAGCTGTTCTAATTCAAGTAATAGTGACTTTCACCGTCTTAATTTGGTATATGGCAAAGTAGCAACCTAGGGTAGGACCATTTTGTGGTCCTGCTCGGAGTTACTGCACACTTTTGTTTGCTAGCTAAGTCAACATAATGGCTCAAAATTACATGCACTATGTCCAAACGATTAACATCATCTACGATCTCTCATCTGATCATCACCATCACCATGGTTTTCTAAACCTATAGGACCAATTGACTTTTTTGGAAAGGTTAGCGTGAGAATCGAGAGCAGCTTTAATTTTTCCTGATTTATGACTCAATAATGGCCTATGTTATGCCCGATGCATATGTGGTTGTAACAAGTACTAGAGTAGTTGGTGCACGTCATTGTGTGGGTTCTTCTCTCATTTCATTTGCTTTAATTGGTTATCTTTTTCATAATTAGAGAACATGTATATATAAGCAACATAACGAAACTGATAGGCAATTAAATTCAGCTGTTATAAATTTTGCAGTCACATCCTCTCTCCGCTTCAAAAGCATAATTTTCTTGAAACTGTCAGAACCCCTAAGAGCTAAGATAATATATACATATAAATTATAATCATATATATACAATCACCACTAGCAAGTTGTGGTCATGGTATAAGTGGTTGCTCCGGTGACTGCAATATTGTGTCTTGAAGCAGCCAGTAGTGACAGCAAGTTAAAGATGATTTTAAAGCCGGTTTAAATTTGGAACCGTATATGTTAGACAGAAGGAGAGGACCCTAGCTTTAGACTTTAATCAGTTCTATGAACTCTCCTCTCTCCAATAATGCAGATTTTGGGGAGCCAATTTTAGCCTTTTGGAGGGATTCAACAAATACATGGTGCTGTCATATGCCAGCGAAAGTATCATCCTCTCATTATACGATAGGACAGGATAATCTTCTTATTCAAACACTGCCAGCTCTAATATATATCTACCAAAGCCCACTATATACATGATGTACATATTGAGAAACACACGAGCGTGTGTCCCCATGTGTGATATATAATAATATGATATATATTATAAAAGGAAGGATCAGAGAAAATGAAATGGAATTCGTAATTTGCTGCAGTGTATGGGTTTTTGTCCTCTTTATCGCATTTTTAGTCTTTGACCAGCTGCTATAGAGGACAGCTACCACAAGGATAAAGATGATAGAAAAATGGAAACATAATACATATAACTGCATCTAATAAATCATTACTCACTGATTGCACCACATGGAAATATTACATTCATAACACAAATTTAGCTGCACTCAGTAATCACCAAGAGTATATCGTTATTCAAACTTTGGCTGATGAAAACAAATACATCGATAGCAATAATAGGTGCGGGGGAGGGGGATATATCGTCTCAAATATTTCGCTACAAATCTCCTGTACTATCAACATCATTCTATTTTTACTAACATGAAAAGAGTTCAAAAAATCAAAAAGAAAGAAAGAATTTACAGTTCATATATGCTGAAATACATCAAAATTTTCTCCAGTTAGATCTTCTGAAAGTGACGTTAATGGAAAGCTAGTGAAATCTATCGAATTGTGAGTCTGCAGCTGCCCTTCTTCCCATGGACTTATCTTGAAATCCTCGGATTTTGTGGCATTTACTTGGAACTGAAACAAAGGGTCAAATTTGTTGTCACCCTCCCACGAGAACCCTGCATTTTCTATCATGCCGCTGATATGACACCCTCCTCCTGGGTAAATGGTGCTCATGTTTGAGCTATTGCTGGAACTTTCTTTCACCTGCTCATTCATGAACAATGAACTGATTTTGGAAGCGGAATTATTGTCTGAAAACTCAGTCACCGACACGTTCCCGTGATCAGAATTGGTTAGACTTGGCATTGTAAGGAACCCATAGCTTGAATTAGGTCCAAAAGGACTCTGATCAGATGCTTTAAGGCTTGTCTGACACTGACTCATAGGTAAGTTAAAACCAGACTGTGCTGCACCCATTGGAAAATCATAGTAGGATAAAGGGTCCAATGCTGGCTTGTTCAAGAAAATTTCTCTTGAAGCTTCAGTTAGCCCTCCATCATAGTAACTGGAATCTATTAGAAGTGTTGATCCCTGTGATGAAGGAAAAGTTAGTGGAACTGAAAGGCCTTGAGACAGTGGTGTTTGCATAGGTGTTGTCTCCGTGATTTTCTTTTCTTCCTTAACATGAGCTTCTGTTAGGGGCTTGTGTGTATTGGGGTCAATCCCTTGCTTCAGAAGCTTCTTCTTTAGGCATGAATTCCAGAAGTTTTTAATCTCATTATCTGTTCTCCCTGGTAACTGCGCTGCTATTTGAGCCCACCTGATATTCAAAAGAAAACAATTTCACAACCAATTCACGGTTAACCATTTTCAAAAGAAAATTTTGTTTTACATATAACATATTGAACATCCTTCAATATGTTACCTGTTTCCAAGAACTTCATGAAGACTGATTATAAGATCCTCCTCCTGCTGTGAGAACATCCCTCTCTTTAAATCAGGCCGCAAATAATTTATCCATCTCAACCTGCAACTCTTTCCACATCTTTGCAGTCCTGCAATTCATGAAATGAGGTGAGGTCTCTCCCGTGTTCTTCTTTTGAACCAATGAAAGAGAGGAAAGAAGTGGATGAGAACTTTGTTTTTAATGAAACATGTAAGGTATTACCAGCTAGTTTTGGAACCGAACTCCAGCATCCAACTCCAAATCTGGTTATGTAGTTGAACAGCTTCTCATCTTCTTCGGGGGACCATAAACCTTTCCTCAATTTTTGCTTTACACAACAGGAATGGCGACCCATTTGTGAGAAAGAACAGAGGGAATGGCAATGTTACTTAATATTGGAGGAAGAGTGTAAGCTCTGAAGTGGTCAGTGCCTCTATATAGCGTGAAATATTACCCAGTGCTTGTGTCATTTAAATGTTTGACGAGGTAGAAATGTTGTTATGTTGTGGGGTGGAAAAGGAGTAACTCAAACTAATTGTGTTCATTTAAAGAGAAGAGGCTAAATCATAAATCATACTTAGGATTGAAGTTAAGAGAGAGAGAGAGAGAGAGAGAGAGAGAGAGAGAGAGAGGATGGAGAACCCTGAGGATGGTGCAGCAATCAAGTGGATTTTACGCAAATCCGGTGCTGCTTTTGCATTGGAATAGATTGGTTTTTAAGATATCCCTATTTCTAGAAAATTAAAAAATAAAATATTAAATGGCATAACTCTATAAACATGTACTGTATGTGATTCCTGTTTTTTATTCATTGTCAATTAAGCACTAACTACTAAGTCTGTTTTCTTTTCGATTCCATCTGAAATATAACCTCATATAGCAAATGATAATCATGTACACATTCTGCATGTTAAGCTTCAACCCTTTTGGCGCTTTATTTGATTATTAATAATAACATGAGCCAATCATGACCTCATAGCATATAATCCATCTTCAGTTTTACCCTTTGACACTATGATCTAATGCCTGTGTCATTGCAGAAAGTTGCGTCTTAGTATTATTAGGGAGGCTTAGGGTACTTATGTTTAGTGTGGGACAGTGACACACATGTCTAGATATTTAACTATACAATTCAGTATTTGAAATGTGGAAAAATAATGAGAACATTAAGCTCTTTTGCTAGTAGTTTTTTATTAATTTACATCTGTTGGTCATATCTGCTTTTAGTTCTCTGAACGTTAAGAATACTATAAAATCAACCGACAGTGGTTCCTGGAAAGATGTGTGGGGTCCAAACAGGACATATTGACTTTAAATAATAATAAAAAACAAAAACAAAAGACTCAAATGATAGTTTATTAATTCGAGAGTCCAATAAAAACAGTGAACCTATCCAATTTCAACCCAGCTTTCTTCGCAACATCTTTTCTATCTTACCACTTTACCATTTTCTGCAATTGCCATGGTAACTTCTCTCTCAGCAAGTTTGGCCAATCCTGGCAATTATATTTATAGATAAGATTTTCTCCAAGCAATAGTAGATCATGTATGAAAATGCTTCCTAGCACAAGGTTTTGGTTAATCTGCATTTTACTGATTATGTTAGCTTCCAATACAAGTTAGTTGATCATTAAATTTTTAAATAAAGCCTCTTTATCTTGCAGAAAGATTTTTGTCCCCATGCATCGAACAAACACTATGTAATGACTTCAGCATTTTTCCATCGAAAATTAGCCTTCACAATTGTCATAGATAATAAGAAAAGATTCTTGTCCATGTCAAAATGTCTCATGCATGTTGGACGTTGAACTCGTATATATATATATATATATATATATATATATATATATATATATATATATATGTTAAACATGTTTTGTCAATTAATAGAACTTTTTGTTTAACAAAAGTTAAAATATTAATACAAAAACAGATTAATTTATATTAATACTAATTTCATGTATCTATAGTGTATAATTCCTCTAACTTCTCACATGAAAAAAGAAATAATTTAGTTATTAACATTAATAAAAATGTTAATGTTAATTAATAGTATCACAAATTTAAATTTTATTTCAAAGTATTCATACTCTTAAATAGTTTGAGTCCTATATTACATATCTCATGAGACTATTAGATTGCTCTTAATATTAAGACATGATTATTTTTTAATCAACAAGCAATTTTTATATATATACATAAAAAAATATAAGTGTATCAATAACATAGGTTACTCAATAATAAATATATATATATATATATAATATTTTTATATGAAAAATGATATAAATATATTTTTATATTAGTATAACTGTTTATTTTTAATAATAATTTGTCATATTATTGCTAAAGTCACTTATAGTTAACATAGAGTTAAAAATGGATAGAAGATAAAGTTCTAGTTGTTCATACATTACCCTTTTAAATGTGATTTAATGTGAAAACATTTTATGTGTGGACCAGACGATGCCATCGAAATTTCCAAATTTTTGCAGTGACCCTTTCTTTAGAAAAGAGAAGATAACTCAAAGTTTGAAACATGCATAAGCAGATACAGGATAACATGTTAAAAAACTTAATCCTCCTTCTTTTATTTTTCTTTTATCCTTTTTCTTTAAACCATAGGCACCAGCTGCTCCCATTCTGACGTTTGCATTCATTAAGAGGTATTGAAAGTCATGATCATAAATTCACTTATGAAGCTAATCTTAAAATCTTATTAGAATAAAAAAAAATTGTTAAAATATATATAATATATCGATGACTTAGATAATTGAAGTGAAATATTTTAATTTGTTGCAATCGGTTTAAATATGGCTTTCAACGATAAATAGACAGTGTTATAATGAATGAATGATGGTTAAGTTATAGTTATTACAATCCAATCTGATTCAATTGATAGCAAGACAACACCATACTCAAGCAATAGCAAGAGGTCTAATAAAAGATGTTATTAAATGATATATTGTATTTATTTAATCATACTTACAATAATGTGTTTGATGTAAACATCATATAGTTAGTGTGAATAAATGTGATACATATGATATAAAGCTCATTAATTTTTAATTATAAGGAAGTTGTGTTGTATTTTCCATCAAGCACATCGAATCTCCAACCCATTGACCAATATCCTCTATTAATAATTAACTCACTTTTCAAAGATTTTAAACAATGCCAAGAATGAACCGTGGAAAGTAACTACAATTTTTCTTTTTTCATGTATATTTAACTAAATTTTAACATTTTCGCTAGCAAAACGTCACTTTCAATTTACATTTCTTGTACATGTGAAGATAAATAACAACAGTGTATTTATATTTTATTAAAATTTAATTTTATATTTTATTATATTTGAGCTATCCGAATTTATTCTTGACTGATCAAACAAAAAATTAGTAATTTGTTGTGAAAGAATGAAGTAAGTTAAGAATGGATAAAGAAATGTTCATCCTATCACAAAATTCTCTTGATAAAAAACTAGAAGTCGATTAAATGAACTCTAAATAAAAAATAATTAAATAAATTAAAAAAAAACTGACTAAGTTGACCCAAAACAAAATAAAAGTTAACTACACGAATAAAAATAATAATTATATATACCATTTAAGTATTCACTGATTTTAATTAACATGACCTTAATAAATCAGCTTAACTAAGTTAACATAAGTTTACATTACGCCATATTTAGTTATTTGTTTGTTATTTTTTATTTTTTATTTTAGTTTTGGAAAATTAAATAAATCATGCTAAGATAATAGATTTAATAAAACTGCTTTTATTTTTATTTTATTTTTTAAATAAAAATATATAATTTTTTTAGTTTTTTTTAATAATATGTTCCATCTCATATATTTCAACTCTTATTATTATCAACTTTTTAAAATTATTTTTCAAATTTCAATGTATTCTTCTTTGTTATTAATATTTTATTCATTCGTTTGAAATCGGTTTTAAATTAAAATTATCAAAATATTTAATTTATATAAATTAAAATACAAAATATTCTATATAAACAACTGAGCTAAGGAAACAATTAAGTAAACAAGTAATGTGAGGATGTTAAATTTAAAATTTAATTTTTATAAAAAAAAATCGATTGAAACCTGACTATGTAATAAAATAAGATTCTTAAAATAAAAAAATTAATTTGCATAAAACCTTAAATAGAAAAAAAAATGTTTCAATTTTTAATATGTCTTTGAAACATGAATATTAAATTAATATTAGTTTTAATAATTACATTGTAAACAATTAAAATGTAAAAATAAATTATAAAATTTGGATTTTTTTTTAAATAAAACTCTACTACTTAGATAAATCTTATAAAATTTGTTTAGAAATATTGTGATACAGTGAGATGCACCTAAAAGTAAAATTGCGTGCGTCATCCCATGACGATCTCTGGTGGAGAAGAGGGAGTACTTTTGAACAGTGTGAGAAAGAAAAACAGTGAATCTGATTTGCTTAATCTGTTCACCACTGAGAGGGAGTAGTTGGTCTTTCTCTTTTAACAGAAAGAGAAAATCTTCCATCTCTCCCACTCTCATCACAATACTATCAATTTTCAATTTTATCTTGTTTTGATGTAGAAAAAAAAAATGGACCACTAATTTTTTTATTTTTTTTCTCTTTCTTTTGATTTTCCACGAAAACAATCAATGCATGAATTAACTCTCTCAGGTGGATTTCAATGATTGGATTTTCGGTTGTTTGGAGGATGTTATCGGGTTAGATAAATAAATGTAATAACAATTGACTCCTATATCACCTAGATGCTCCTCAGATGATAATAGGAAACAATCATTTTTCAGCAAATTAAATGTTAGTTTTAAAAAATTCATTTGAGATCATTTTTAAATTAATTTTTATTAATCATCATTAAAAAATATTTGTTTGTGTTACAAATAAGCGTATTTTTTAATTTTAAAATAATTACCAAAGATGCATTCAATTAGGATTTTAATTTTTTTAAAATATTTTCTATATAAAAAATATTATGATATTTAATTGAGATTTTATAATATGTAAAAATAAAGATCTTAAAATCTTATAACATTTAATAAACACTGTCAATATTATTTTAAAAGAAACAAAATTTGGTAATATTTTCATTGAGATTTTAAAAATATAATCCTGAAATAATTTCATTTAAGTACAGTTTCACGTACACATATATAACTTTATGAAGTGAAAATATTACGTAAGAATTGTGTTTTTAAGTTTATAACATAAATAAGAAATGCATAATATATATGCAGAGTTTAAATATTAAACTCCCTAATCATATTCATAAGGGACACAATTATTTTAAAAATGTTAAGTGATATTGTGATAAAATAATAATAATTGTCC